CTGTGGTTCCTGCTGCAGTGAACGGGGCTGTGGTGCTTGACAAATTCGTGGGAGGGGGCAGTGTGTGTGTAGGGAGGGAGGAAGGCGGATTGGGTGTATGTGGGGATGGATGGTACAGTAAGGGGGAAATGGTGGGGGTGAGAGGGATATAGGAATGGAGGCAGGGGGAGGGCAGTGTGGGGATGCAGAGGGGAGGGGTTAGGTAAGGATGCGGGTGTAGGAATGGAAGCAAGGAGATCAAATTGAAGTACAGGTTGCAATTTCCCTGTATTTCCTTCTTCTTTATAAACACTTCCTTTCTGTACCTATGAAAAGAGGGTGTCATTTACCCACTATGGAACTCTGTTAATACTGGCTTTGTGGAACTGATTTTACACGGATGTCATGTCTTCATTACAGAAAGTCCTCTCTCTCTATCTCCCTCTCCCCCTATATATGCACCCACACACACACACACATTTCCTGTAAGACACCAGAGTGATGTCATCACATCATTCGGCATCCCGCCTGCCACCTCCCTTCCTCCCTCACCTCTCCCCTAGTGCTCCAGGGAGCAGCTGGGGCTGCCGCACCACAGCCTCGGCCCTCCCTGGTGGCCGGGAGCAGGGGCGAGCTGGAGTTGGCCAGGCCTCAGCCCTGCCCAAGGGAGGGGAGGAGAGCTGGGGTTGGCTTGGCCTCAGCTGTGTCTGCCCGATAGGGGTGAGGGGAGAGCTGGGGCTGGCCCAGCCTCAGCCTGGTGGTCAGGGGTGTGTGGCCAACCCAGGGCTTCCACACCTCAGCTCACCCTCCCCAGTGGCTATGGGGAGAGCCAGAGCTACTGACCCCTAGAGAGAGGGAGGTTGGCAAGCATGGGGTGAAGCCTCGTAGTTTAAATAATTTTCCAAAACTGTATATCTGTATTCGTGTCCACAAGAGAATTCTCCAAGCCTGCAACAGAAAATGTATACCTTTGGCACAAAATGGACCCATCACGTGCTCGTATAATGGCCCTTTGTGCATTCAGAAAAAGGTAAAAATGAATATCAGTGACTTCTGGTCCTAAAATCCATGACTCCATGTTGTAGAACTCAGTTTAGTCTCTTAACCCAGACAAAACTCTCATTGGCTCAGCAGACACCACTTATCTTTAATCTCTTTCTTGAGCAAGGTCAAAGAAAGTAGCTAGTAGGGATGTAATAGTGTAGCTGATTAACCGATAAGCAAAAGCTTATAGGTTAATGCCACAGACGACTACACACATTCCACCGCCCCACCCCTCCACCAGTCCATTTTTAGCAGGCTGGCCAGCAGCCCAGCTCAGTCCAGACTTGCATTGGGTCCTGGACCTATCCCCACTGCAGCTCTGCATTTAAAGTGTATTAGGAGCCAGGCAGGCAGACAGTCCGACTCAGTTCCGGCTCATGTCGGTTCCGAAAGCTCAGACCCCTTCCCCCGGACAGGGGCTGCCCAGGGACTATATAATAGTTGACTAACCAATAAGAATTCATGAGGTTAATCGACTATTAAATTAACCGATATTTAACATCCCTCGTAGATAGCCAATCCCAGCAAAGCATCACCTCTGCTTATTTCTGAAAGCCTTCCTTCAGATGAATGTATGGCATGGAAAATGTACTGGTCAAGCTGAATGAAAGCCACTTTATGGCTGAGGGCAAAAGACAGGCATTCATGATAATGCTATTAAATCTATCTGAAGCCTTTTATACTGATCACGAGGTACTGGTAACTCACATACAAGAACTCAACATGGTGTACTGAGTCACATTAAGCTATTTTTGCTCATTACTCTTAGACAGATCCCAGAACCATGACAAGTATTTTTTCCTTTTCCCCAAAAGTGCTCATTCACACAATCCTTCTTAGCTTGCTCCTGTCACCTCTCAGTCACTATCACAATAGAGACTGGGAGACCCCAGTGGCTCCAGTGTCAATTACCTGATAAAAGGTGGCTCAGTAATCTCCTTCTCAACCATTTACAGTGTTGTATTCACCAACTCTTCAGTGTCTGGAGAGACTAGAATCTGGATGAAAAGCATCTATTTGACCCTGGTGAGCAACCATGGTTACTGCTAGGTAGAGAGAAGTTTTTTCAGGAATTAAGTGCTCATCCTCTATTAAGGGCATCTGCATAGTCTCAATATCCTATCAGACTCAGTGCTGGTCCTATTTGCCCAAAGTGCAGCTGTTTCATCTTTAGCCAGCTATGAAAAATAGCCCTTTTTCTCCCTAATACTTTCAGGCTGGACTGTTGCAATATAACTGGCTTATTGCCAGTTATCAACAGAGGTATCAAAACCCACATCTGAAAAAAACCTTCATTAATTTACCGACACACAACATAAAATTCACAAAATATCCTGTTAAGCAGCTCTGTGGAGATAAACTGTACATCCCTCTACATATGGAGCAGAAAGAAAACAGGCTACTTTCACGTCTCTAAAGTCATAGCCCCAGCCATGTTATATAAGTGTTTACTCAAGCAGAAACCACTGTAGTTTAGCTTGCAACACTGTTTTCATTCCAGCCTCTTTTCAGTCACTTATTACTTTCATGCTTCAAAGGTGATTTATTTTAAAATTTGAGTAAAAACAGTTCAGTCATGTTGAATTATAAAGAGTGGAAAAATATACTTTTCCGTGTGATAAAAGAATTTTTGCAATCCTCTTACTTGTACAGCTCTACAACCACAATATCGGAGTTGAATTTGGCACGGAAAGGAGTGGAAGTGACTGCCAGTGATCCAGAAAAAACTGGTTGGGACTTGATTGAGCTCTGAGCATTTGAAAACTACATTCCAATTATTAGGGTTTTTAATTTATTTCAAGCTCATTGTGAAAGAAGCTTACTTAACTACAGGGTGAAAATCTAGTCAAATATATTGTGGGTTCATATATAAATTACAGTGCTTAGGAGACCTCTTTTAGCATCTTTACAGCTTAAAAAAATGCAAAGGTTGAAGGAGGCGTAGATTAGAGTAGGTACTTAGATACTTTGATGGGCACAGCATAAGGTAGATCGGGGCAGGCAAGATACAGCCCATGCAGGGAGCAGTACCAGTAGCTGCTTCCTGTTGCTCTCTCTGGTGCAGAGAGGGAGGGAAAGGCTTCAGCACACTCCCTCTACCCCCAGCAAAATCTCTCAACTCCTACTGGCTGGAAAGCGGCCAATGGGAGCTGAGAGATTTTGCTGGGGATGGGGGCAGCACAGAGCGCCTCTCCCTCGCTACTCTTCCCCACAGTGCTGAGAGCCATGTGCACAGTCAGCCCAAGAGTGCTGGGGGAAGGAGGAGGCAGGCAGGAAGGAAGCCAGCCTGAGTGTGCTGCTGGCCAGGAGCTGCTTAGGTAAGCACCTCCTAGCCAGAGCCTGCCTCCAGCATCCCACACTCTCCAATTTCCTCCCAGATCCTGCACCCCTTCCTACATTCTTCTCCCAAGCCAGAATCCTCTCCTGTACCCATATCTTCTCTTGGATCCTGAACCAGGTCACAACCCAAACCCTCTGCACTCTCCTGTCCCAGGTCACAACTCCCCCCCAGACCCTACACACCCTCTCCTAAAGGTCACAACCCAAACCCTCTGCACTCTCCTGTCCCAGGTCACAACTCCCCCCCAGACCCTACACACCCTCTCCTAAGCCAGAATCCTCTCCTGCACACATACCCTCATCAGACCCTGCACCCCAATCCCCTGCCCCAAGTCACAACCCCCTCCTTCACCCAAACTCTCTCAGACCCCACACCCTCTCCTGCACCCGTCCCCTACTCTGAGCTCCCTTCTGCACCCAACCTGTCCCAGACCTGCACCCTCTCCATAGAAAAGTGCAGCCCTTGACCACATACCAAAATCTTGTTGTGCCCCGACTGCCTCAAAAATTACTGTCCACCCCTGAAGTAGATGGTTCTTGAACAATTTGTAATCTATCTATTTAAGATGCTTATTGGTTGAGACAAAGTCACTAGAGGTGCTTGCCTCATCATCTGAATGAGTCAAAAGATATAAAAAGTTTAAGGGAGGAATTTATGTGCAGCTTATATTGCAGAAGAGAAGTTTACATCTATGGACTTCCTAATGTGGACTTCTCAGTGATGTTTAGCCAAATTCCATCGTTACATATTACTACAACACTGCAAACTACAAATTATAGAATTTACATTAATTATTGGCAACTTTTTGCCATGCAACATAGTTTCTAAGTACTGGATAATGAAGTTCTATCTTAAAACACATGAAAGCATACAACTTCAAGAAATGCCATGCAAAAAACTATGTTAAGAAAACTTTAAATTTAAAAGTCAGAAAGTGACAAAGTTAAGTTTCCATTCAACTTTAATTCTTTCTTGTTGTGTATACACATTATAAAGCAGCCTTTACTTATATCATCACATATATTTTATAAATAATAAAGTTACACAATTTTTTACAGTCATAACTACACATGATCCTGCATGTGAAGTATTTTTCATTCTTGCACTTCTGTTTGTTGTAATGAACTATTATATCTTTAGTAAGCTATGGTGGCAGAGAATGAGTGACTTGCCATGGTCCATGACAAGTCAATGTTAGGCCAAGAATAGAATTATGATTTCCAATTCTGTGCTTTAACCAACAGACCACGCTATGGTCCCATTCTATTATGTTACAAAATTACATTTGACTCTCAGATTACAAAATTTAACATTCCTCACTGGAAAGTGTCAATGAGAAGTGCATTCATATTACAAAAATGTGATATGTTTATAATTTATAATAATTAAAAGAATTTTCAAAATAATTTTTAAACAGAAAAACAAACAAACTTCTCTTAAATCTTTTTCTGTTCTATCTAGTTTTAAAAGTAGAAGCAAAATCTATTTAACATACTGTATGAATAGAGAAGAGTCCCACTTACAAATTTTAGACTGAAAGTTCTTTGGGACAAGAACTGTTATTTATTATACATTTATATAGTGCCCTCTGGGTTATGGCCTTTAGACACTACTGCAGTAAAAATAATAATTTTACCTCTGTGAGGGATCCACAGGCCACTCCACCATGCAGGGCTTTATCCAAACCATGTAGGGTAGTGGATAAAAAGGTTGAGGATGGATTGATAGCTCTTTTCATTTTCATCTCATAGGCCTACAACAGCAAAAATAACAAAAAAAATGCTTTATTCAACAGGCAAGGGCAATTTCTGGCATTTGCTCCCAAGCAATATAGCATGATTTAATACTCGCCCACAAGTCTACTGTACAAGTCCTAAACTACAGCCTCATCCTTTCTTGTGTTCTTTCTCCACTTGCCCCTCCATTACATGTAAATTCTGACACCACAAAGTAGATTTAAAGGAGTGTATTGCATACCATGATGTTTTCGCACGCCAACATTAAATTTTCCCCCCACATGGCAGTAACTTTTAAAATAGGGAGCTGAGAGATTTTGCTGGGGGGCAGGGGCAAAGCAGCACAGTTTCTCAGCTCCCATTGGCCAGATTCCGGCCAATAGGAGCTGAGAGATTTTGCTGGGGATGGGGGCAGCACAGAGCGCCTCTCCCTCGCTACTCTTCCCCACAGTGCTGAGAGCCATGTGCACAGTCAGCCCAAGAGTGCTGGGGGAAGGAGGAGGCAGGCAGGAAGGAAGCCAGCCTGAGTGTGCTGCTGGCCAGGAGCTGCTTAGGTAAGCACCTCCTAGCCAGAGCCTGCCTCCAGCATCCCACACTCTCCAATTTCCTCCCAGATCCTGCACCCCTTCCTACATTCTTCTCCCAAGCCAGAATCCTCTCCTGTACCCATATCTTCTCTTGGATCCTGAACCAGGTCACAACCCAAACCCTCTGCACTCTCCTGTCCCAGGTCACAACTCCCCCCCAGACCCTACACACCCTCTCCTAAGCCAGAATCCTCTCCTGCACACATACCCTCATCAGACCCTGCACCCCAATCCCCTGCCCCAAGTCACAACCCCCTCCTTCACCCAAACTCTCTCAGACCCCACACCCTCTCCTGCACCCGTCCCCTACTCTGAGCTCCCTTCTGCACCCAACCTGTCCCAGACCTGCACCCTCTCCATAGAAAAGTGCAGCCCTTGACCACATACCAAAATCTTGTTGTGCCCCGACTGCCTCAAAAATTACTGTCCACCCCTGAAGTAGATGGTTCTTGAACAATTTGTAATCTATCTATTTAAGATGCTTATTGGTTGAGACAAAGTCACTAGAGGTGCTTGCCTCATCATCTGAATGAGTCAAAAGATATAAAAAGTTTAAGGGAGGAATTTATGTGCAGCTTATATTGCAGAAGAGAAGTTTACATCTATGGACTTCCTAATGTGGACTTCTCAGTGATGTTTAGCCAAATTCCATCGTTACATATTACTACAACACTGCAAACTACAAATTATAGAATTTACATTAATTATTGGCAACTTTTTGCCATGCAACATAGTTTCTAAGTACTGGATAATGAAGTTCTATCTTAAAACACATGAAAGCATACAACTTCAAGAAATGCCATGCAAAAAACTATGTTAAGAAAACTTTAAATTTAAAAGTCAGAAAGTGACAAAGTTAAGTTTCCATTCAACTTTAATTCTTTCTTGTTGTGTATACACATTATAAAGCAGCCTTTACTTATATCATCACATATATTTTATAAATAATAAAGTTACACAATTTTTTACAGTCATAACTACACATGATCCTGCATGTGAAGTATTTTTCATTCTTGCACTTCTGTTTGTTGTAATGAACTATTATATCTTTAGTAAGCTATGGTGGCAGAGAATGAGTGACTTGCCATGGTCCATGACAAGTCAATGTTAGGCCAAGAATAGAATTATGATTTCCAATTCTGTGCTTTAACCAACAGACCACGCTATGGTCCCATTCTATTATGTTACAAAATTACATTTGACTCTCAGATTACAAAATTTAACATTCCTCACTGGAAAGTGTCAATGAGAAGTGCATTCATATTACAAAAATGTGATATGTTTATAATTTATAATAATTAAAAGAATTTTCAAAATAATTTTTAAACAGAAAAACAAACAAACTTCTCTTAAATCTTTTTCTGTTCTATCTAGTTTTAAAAGTAGAAGCAAAATCTATTTAACATACTGTATGAATAGAGAAGAGTCCCACTTACAAATTTTAGACTGAAAGTTCTTTGGGACAAGAACTGTTATTTATTATACATTTATATAGTGCCCTCTGGGTTATGGCCTTTAGACACTACTGCAGTAAAAATAATAATTTTACCTCTGTGAGGGATCCACAGGCCACTCCACCATGCAGGGCTTTATCCAAACCATGTAGGGTAGTGGATAAAAAGGTTGAGGATGGATTGATAGCTCTTTTCATTTTCATCTCATAGGCCTACAACAGCAAAAATAACAAAAAAAATGCTTTATTCAACAGGCAAGGGCAATTTCTGGCATTTGCTCCCAAGCAATATAGCATGATTTAATACTCGCCCACAAGTCTACTGTACAAGTCCTAAACTACAGCCTCATCCTTTCTTGTGTTCTTTCTCCACTTGCCCCTCCATTACATGTAAATTCTGACACCACAAAGTAGATTTAAAGGAGTGTATTGCATACCATGATGTTTTCGCACGCCAACATTAAATTTTCCCCCCACATGGCAGTAACTTTTAAAATAATTTTTCAAAAGTGAAGCTTTTTTTTTTTCCTGGCCAACACGTGCTGCTTTGGATCTGCCAAATTACTACTTTTGAACACAGTAATACTAAAACCCTGTGGTCAGCAGGGTTGTGTAAAACATTCACAGTGAAACCCAAAACCAAGAATTTGGCTGATTTTGAACTTGGCAACTCAAAACCATTCGGGTTCATTGAAAGGCTGATAAGATTTGTAAACTGTTTGAACAAGCCTGGGTCAATACCAAAGCTTAGTATAGTTTTTAGGTTTTGTGAGCCTGATCTATCTAGGGAGTATGGCACCAGACTGGCAGTCAAGAAATTTTGGTTCTTCTTCCAGTTGACCTAAGATGCCAGTCACTTGCTCTTTTTATGCCTTAGTTTCCCCATATATTGGACAGGAGTCCTAAACAGTTACTATTTAAGAAGGACTTGGAAATCCTCAGCCAAAAGGTGCTAAAGCATGAGACTGTACAAAGAATATGAAAACCATCTGTAATGAGCATTTCAATGCACAAAACACCTCAAAGCAAAACTGGCTTCACTAATGTCCTGATGGATTTGATTTCAGAGTAACTGGAAAAGTGAATGCATGGAGTGATAAAGGATTTGCACATATTTTTTCATTAGAATAAGATTAGTCTTTTTATAAGGTAGGACATTTTACACGAGCTGAGGGTGAGCCTCATAGAGATTTTATTGTCAAAAAATTTAATCTGACTTCCTGCACAACACAGACCATAGAATTCAATCCAATAATTTATGTACTGAATCTAAGAAACTGTGGTTTTGCTAACATATGTTTCAGAAAGACATTCAGTCCTGATTTAAGACTCCAAGTTAAAGGAAATTTACCACATCCTTTAGTAGTCTGTTCACTATTAAAAATTTTCCATTATATGTCCCTTTTGAATTTTTCTGACTTCAGCTCCAGTCACTGGATTTTGTGATGCTTTTGCAGGCTCAATTAGTTTTTACTGGTATCAAATATCTTTTCTCTGTAGAGATACTTCTTGACCACAATCAAATCACCTCTTAACTTTCCCTTTAATGAACTCAATAGATCCAGGTCCTTAATTCTCCAATTCCGAGTGGCATTTTCCAATCTCAAACTATTTCTGTTGCTCTTTTCTAAATTTTCTCCAATTTTACAATATCTTTGGGCACAGAATTCTAGTACTGTAGTACATCTGCACAGAACAATATTGAGACCACTATCACCTTTTTAATCACACTCATTATTTCTGTTTTTACATTCAAGGATCACACTAGCTACATCATCACACAGTGAGTTCCTGTTCAACTGCTTATCCAACGATGACCCCCAGATCCTTTGCAGACCCAGAGTCTGACAAGACACCCCAGACTTATTGATAAAAATATTCAATAGGGATGGTCTGAGAACCAATCCCTAGGAGACCACACTAGAAATACTCTCATCACTTGTTTCCTAGTTAACAGTTACCTACTAAGATTTATCTGCCAGTTTTAATCCATTTAATGTGTGATGTTGATTTTGTACAGTACTGTTTTTAATCTGAATTTTATGTAACACCAAATTAAATATCTCACAAAAGTTATGTGACTAGTTTCTTTTCACAAAGTAGTGAGTGTGACTGATAAAGAATGATGTATCATTTATTTGTCAAGACCCATTTTTCAAGAATACATGAGTACATAAGAGTGACCACCTCACTGTTTACCCCTTTCCCTAGATCATTTATAAATAGGATGAACAGGATTGGTCCCAGCAGAGATCCTTAGGGGACACTACTAGTTATCTTTCTCCATTCTGAATACTTACCATTTATTCTTACCCTCTGCCTCCTGTCTTTTAACCAGTTATCAATCTACGAGAGGACCTTCACTCTTATCCTACGACAACTTACTTTACTTAAGAGCCTTTGGTGAGGGACCCTGTTCAAGGCTTTCTGGAAATCTAAGTACTCTATATCCACTGGATCCCCCTTGTCTACATGTTTGTTGACCCCCTCAAAGAACTCTAGTAAGGAATGATTTCCCTTTACAGAAATCATGTTGACTTTCCCCCAACAAATTACATTCATCCATGTGTCTGATAATTTTATTCTTTACTATATTTTCAACTAATTTGCCCGGTACTGATGTTAGACTTCAGTTAGTTTCTCCACAATGACCTTATTATCTTTGAGTACTGTACTCCTTTAGCATCTCAGTTGTTCAGTGGCCCCACTGGTTCTTTAGCAGGCTTCCTGCTTCTGATGTACTAAAAAAACATTTTGCTATTAGTTTTTGAGTTTTGGGCTAGTTGTTCTTCAAACTCCCTTTTGGCTTTTAATATATTTTTACACTTAATTTGACAGAGTTTATGCTCCTTTCTATTTTCCTCACTTGGATTTAACTTCCAGTTTTTAGTGGAATGCAGATTGGCATTAATTATATTTCCTTCCTTTTTTCACAGCATCAAATTCAGGATAGCCAGGTTACCCCATTTAAATTTCTGAATACTGGCACAACATCGACTTTACTCCAGTCCCTGAGAACTTCCCCAGTTGCCCAAGATTTATTAAAAATACATATACATTATCTGTACATCTGCTCCTTGGCCTACTCTTAAACTACAAACACGAGGAGTCATGTAGCACCTTACAGACTAACAGATTTATTAGGTACCGCCGTTCTCCTCATAGTTTTTGCAGATACAGACTAACACGGCTACCCCTCTGAGTTTTAAACTGCAATGAAAGTCACCTGGACACCCAGTTTTATCTGCCCCATCTCCCTCTCATGCCACAAGCATTAGCATATTTTCTTTATGGTTGGGAGGATACAGCCTAATTCAGACTTTTTCTTACAGTAGCCAAAAGAATCCAGTACAGAGCAATGCAGCCCACACCTATATCCTTCAATCCAGTCCCACCAATTCTCTGAAAACAGAGGCATCACCTTCATGCCTCTCCTCATTCCCATTTGCCTAGAATGAGAAAACATGAGATTCTCCAAAATGAGCACTCAGCCCACTGGCACCATCATCATTTTATAAAAATGAGATCCTATGGCACTGATGCTCCTCCCCTTCACTGTCAATGGTACTTTCAGTTGTAAGAGTCAGATTGGAAGTAATTTCTTTAATATTCTCAAAGATAGGAAAGAATTCCTTATCTTTTTGAGTGGCTCTCAGCAGTCGTCATTTACAGGAGCACAACTTATATCCTACTGTAATAACCTGAAGAACCTACTTAAGCATTAAAATGCCTAGCTGAATTCATTGCATTCTAACAAGAAAGAGATTTTCTTCTTATGCACATCTTAACTGAGAAATTCATTGTTTTATGGATCTGAATTTAGCAATGAAAACTGGCTTAGCCTAATTTAATCCTTATAACAGAATTCTATAGCATACATCTTGGATGTCACACCATCTCATTTTATTTGCAACAAACCTATACTACACTATATACTTGCTAGGTAAGAAGAAAAGTGACTATTGTCTGATTTCATAACAGGATCACCACAAGGATACTTACAGTCTGCATTTTGGGAGCACAAGCTAAGCTGACTTTGCAAAGAAGCTTCTGCACATTCTGATAACTTTGCCCAGTCACTTTCATTAGTTCCAAGAGTGAAAGACACAGAAAGTCCTGAAAGATGAGTAAAAGGAACAGAATTTAATCTAGGATTGAAGGGGAGAAAGAGATTACATTCAATATATTTATAAGCAATCTCGACCCCCCAATTTGGGAGCACAAGCTAAGCTGACTTTGCAAAGAAGCTTCTGCACATTCTGATAACTTTGCCCAGTCACTTTCATTAGTTCCAAGAGTGAAAGACACAGAAAGTCCTGAAAGATGAGTAAAAGGAACAGAATTTAATCTAGGATTGAAGGGGAGAAAGAGATTACATTCAATATATTTATAAGCAATCTCGACCCCCCAAGGCAGGCCGCCAACACAGCAGGCCGCCCCCGCCAGCTCTCGCTTCCCGTCCCCTGGG